CTCCTTCTGCTCAGCTGTACTCAGAAGTGAGGTGGCTCTGGAAGGGAGGCTTGGCTGAGAGGGTACGGAGCCCAGGCATTCAGAGTGCCCCTGAGGCCACTGGGGTCTAGACTCCCATCCTTGAGTGGAAAGAGGTATCATGAAGGTCGAACTCTTCCATCCCCCTCTCCTGCCTCTGTTGTCTTCTGGGAAATGGGAGCAATACCTCATTTATGCATTTACAAGCACTGTGCAAATGCTCAAGTAAACATTATTACTGGCAAGGAGACCAGGCCAGTGAGGGGACTGCCTTGCCCAAGGTCACATGAACCTATTTGCCACGGAGCCACAGAACAGGATCAGAACTGCGATCTCACTCTGCACTATCTTCCTGTATACAACCCTCCCATGTATATCCCTGGCGCTGAGGACACTCCTTCTTTTCTCCACAACCATACTCCAGGGTGACCAAAGAGGCTCTATTCCCCACTAACACTTGCTGGTTGGGGGGGGGCTGGCTTCCGTCACCCCGCTTTGATGCCAATGGAAGCAGGGCCCCAAAAGAATGAGAACCAAAAAACCATGAGACTCTGGGTCTGGAGTTTGAGGGTGCTTGTGAGTTGTTTTAATAAAATACACACACATATATATGTGTATATATATATGTATATACATATATACATTACATATATATATACATGTATACATTATATATATATATATAAAATCAACTTGACAGCCTTTATAAGATGTTCAAAATAAGGCTTCTCCTCTCAGAATTAGATGATTGGGATATTTTATAGCAGAAAATACAAAAAAATCCAATTCAGCCCCAAGCAGAGTCCATCTAATCACTCACGGCAGCCGTTCTGCCACTGCACCACTCTGGACCCGAGCTGGCCTGAGAAACATCCTCCCAGCCCAGAAGAGAGACCTGACCTTCTGAAACCTCCTCCAGGGCTCAGCAAAATTGCCACCAGGCACACAAGCTGATGGAGAATTGTCATTTGGATTGCACTTCTGCCCTGGGTCTGCCAGCTCCAGGGCTCACCAGGAAACAGAATTCCCCAAGACCCCGGTGTACAAGAGCCGCAAAGGCAGTGGGTCCGCAAGGCTTCATTGGAAGTGAGTTTATGATTATGGCGGAAACAATAGATCCGTATGCACAGAGCAGGACTGCTAAGACACTGCGGCCACTAGAAATGCACTAGAGGTATACTAGTCCAGTCTTCCACGCTCCCCTGCAGCAGTGAAATGCACCAGTAATATACCATCCTGTGGCAAAATATACAAGCCCAAGTTGCTGATTCCCTACCTTACTGTCCCCACACACCGTTGTGTGCCCAGTGACACGTGCTTCAGCCCCAGCTTCTAACCGAGTAACAAACGGTGCACACTGCAATCACCAGACTGAATTCAAGCTCTCCTTATGACACATTTATACCCTCTGATTAATTCCAAGGCTTCGTGTAGGCGCGGATCCCGGAGGGGCAAGAGGATCACATATTCCAGATGAGTTGACCCTGGCCCCAAATGCCCTCCCCAGCCGCCTATAAATATCTATATCTCCGAGGCTCCCTGTAAGAAACCTATGATTGGTCCCCAGGGTCTGTGGCCGACCTCTCCCCGCCCATCCCCGGACCTTAGGAAAACCCGGCAGGCTGTTCAGCAACCAGGATCACCCAGGCGAGGGGGTCCATGCTCCAGAAAAAGCCAACAGAGGACTCATAAGCACCTTTGGTTGTAGGGGACTACACCCCATCACTTGGCTTCGGTTAAGATTACTGGAAGGAAAGCCCGAGTGATTTTTTGTTTGTTCATTTGTTTTTATTTGGGGAAGATGAAAGAGTGGGGAGAAGCTTTTGAACAGACTCACACTAGACTATTTGACCATTACAACTCCTCTGTCTTTGTGCCGCCCAGAACCAGCTCGAAGCCCCCAACACCGGATCCTCATCTCCTGTTGCCAGATGGCCGCAACGTTTCCGTTTGTGTCTGAGCACGACAGGGATCCCAGGAGCTCCTGAGCGGGCAGGCAACAGGGTCTCCCGCAGCTGCCAATTCCCGGCAGGGAAAATTTCTCCTATGAAAACAGCCTCCTGCTGGTAAGCGGGGTAAGAGCTAGCTGGCTTCCTGTCCTTCATAATGCACCCACACCCCAACAACCCCCTGGGGGAGCCCCAGGCCTGCTCCAGAACCAAAAGCACCAGTGAACAGAACCACCTTCCCTGCCACTATGAGAGAGCGGAGGGGTGTTCCAACCCAGCCCCACCCTAGGCCTTAGGCCCTGGTCAGGGCCCACTGGAGTTGGGACTGTGCTAGGCGGGATGGCTGGGCCTTCTTCCTGCCGGCAGCCCAGGCACACGCAGCCTGCACCATCCGGATATAGCCGCCCCAAATTTAGGAGCCTTGTGAAACACCCACAGAACCAGGACTGATGGGAGCAGCCTGGGGGACAAGGTCCAGCTAGGTGTTTTTACCCACGATGGAAATGGAAAGGACTCCAGAAGCCACAGAGGCACAGATCCCAGATTCCCAGCTCTGGGTTCGTCCTCCCCTCACCCAGTCGTAGACTGGACTGTCCTCTGTCCTAAGCCTCCCCCACCCCTGGCCGGAACCCAAGGTCTTCCTGGACACTGTTTTCACCCATACTGTTCCCCCAAAACTCACCTGGGGCATATTTAGAGAAACCGGCCCCTCTGAATAGGATCTCCACTCTGCCGGAGAGGGGCGGGAGCCAAGGTCCAAGTTGCAGACGGGGGTCTTTGCTTTCCCCCTCTCTCGCTGAGAGACCAGCAGTTAGGCCACGGTGTGGTCCTGGGCAGTCTGCCGCGCCCAAAGCGAGTTTCCAGGAAAGATGGGGGTGGAGAGAAAGAGGGAGGGCGAGAGGGAGGGAGAGAGAGAAATGGGGGTCAATGGCTGGGAATTACCTCCTGTCCTCGCCAACCAGCCCAGGGAATTGCAAATGGCTTTCTGCCCCCACCCTGCAGGTGTTTGAAGCCTCTCCCCAATCCCCCTTTAAAAAGAACCCTACACCTGACCAATCAGGAATAACTATAATAACTATAACAACAACAACCAGCTCAAGCTCTGCACAGACCTCTGGAACAATTTCGGGCCCTCCGACCGGGATGTCTGGTTCAGTGTAGCCGAGTTAGTTTTCTAAGCACTGACATGTCTATGCGATTGGCTTGGGAACCCCAGTCAGGCCGGAGCAGCGGCCACAAGCCTAGCACAGCTGGGTGGAGAAATGTGTGTTGGAAAGGGGGGATCCGGTTTTCAGACCCTGATCTGTGGGGCAGAACCTCCAAGGCCCCCATTCTCTCCATGCCCACCTTTAGCCAAAAGCGAAACCAGAACTCAATTCTAAAGGCTACTTTCCCACAGGAATGGAGTCAGAACAGCACAGATCCAAGGGGATGGGGGGGGGGGCGCAGATCTATCTAGGTCCCCTCTTTTCTTCCACTGATAAAGAAAGAAAGAAAGGCCCCGCCTTCCTTTCAACCATCCCCACACGATGATTTTCAATTTTTCAGTGTTCAGACTAGCAGAGTAGGGGAGAATTCTAATAATTCCTTGCAGCAATAAACAAGGCAAAGGCAGGGAGGGTAAAATCCAATACTGCTTCCCAGTGTGTAGCATAGGGAGATTTGGGTTGCTTTTTTTTCTTTTCCGAAGGGTTTTGTTTAATTTGTTTTGCCTAAATTGTCCAGTTTATGATTACACACCGAAATCCTGGATTAATTCCAAAGGACTCCTTTTTGCCCTGGCTTTGGTGGAAATATAGGAATAATTCTTCCCTGCGGTTTCAGTCCAATGCGGGAGATTTTCTTTCTCCTCTTCTAATCCAGATGGGGGGAGGGGTGGGAAGAAAGGAAAATCCACTCATTCCTATTTCTTAGGTCCGTGTTAATTTTTGCTTTATGACAGGGTCTCTGTGCCCGTTCCTCTCTCCATTTTCTCTCCCTACCTCAAACCCAGCAACTTAAAAAAAATAGAGCTGGTCGCGGGGAACCGCGCAGCTTTGTTTTCGCTCCAAAGAAGCTAAAAGGGACAAGCCGTTTTGCTACTGAACGATTACTTTAATTAAATAGAATGATGATGATGGTGATGATGATGACGATGACATTAGTAACCACAATAACTGGCAAAATAAAATCCTTTTTTTCGCAGAGAGGGCAGCACTGACCCCATCCCTCCACAAAGGCTGGCCCTGGTCACCGATGCGACGGATACCTGACCCACGCCGCAATGTCGCTCACCCGGGGAAGGGATAGAAAAGTGTTCTTTGGAGATTATCCCGAGGGTCCCCACCCCAGGCGCAAAACCTGGAGAATGCGCCCATTGTCTTTTCCAGGCCTCTCCCGCAGACCCCGCGGAGGTACCCGCGAAACTGACCAGAAATGGATGAAGCCTGGGTGCGGCGGAAACCCGAGCCGGCGGCTACCGGCTTGAAGGCGCGGGCCTTGGCGAGCGCTGCTCAGCTTCGAGCCTGGAAGAACCTCCCCCTCACTAACAAACCCCTCAAACACCGAGGCACAGACTGGCCTCTGGACAGAGCAGCCGCCGATCGGGCTCCGTCTGCCCATCCAAGCCAACACTGGCTTCCGAATACATCATAATTTGGAATAAAATGTGAAATCCCTCTCCCCGCCCCCTTGCCGCCTCCTCAACTTGCGGCTCCATCTCCTCCTGCTCGCCCTCCCCTCCACCCCCCAGCGATTTGCAAATGCACTTCTAAAGGACACAAGCACACAGGCACACAACCCAGTATGGACAGAACCACACACGGTCCAGGCCCATAGAGGGGAAGCAAAGTAAATACAACCCAACACTGCCCCACAAGCCGACATGGTCAGGCCCGCACACTGTCCATCACGATTCAACGAAATCAGTCCAACGCAATCGCTCATGGACACACATCCAACGTAGTCAGGATCACACACGCCCGACACAACAACGAAACCACCCAAATACAATCGCAAAGGCCACACAACCCAACACACAGAGCCAGACCCATGTCGAGAAGGAAAAACGAACATAATCGTATACAACGATGAAAACGCAGAAGGGCTCGAAGAATCCAAATCAACAACCCAAAGAGCGCGGACACCATCACACTCGGACACACAACCCTTCGCCTGGAAGACCACACTCGGAAGAAGCATTGCCGACGGCTCACACACGCACTCACAATCCCACCGCATGCACACAACCACCAAGAAGAAATGAAAACCAACCACCGCCTCGCGCATTTCTGTATATTGCGTAAGGAAAAAGGGGAAGGAAGGAAGAGAGTCTCCGAGGCGGGAGGGGCGGCGGCGGCGAGCGGAGGGTGTCCGTGGAAAATGCCCCCCATCGAAAGAAACCCAGGGAAAAGGAGCGAAGACCTCTTCTTCGAGCCGGGAAAAGGAGAGAGGAACTGATGGGGAATTCCGCGGGAGGCCGCAGGTTGCTTTCCCCTAGAAAAAGGCCAGAATGCTCACGTTTTGCCGCTACGGGGGGATGCGTGTGGCCATTTTGAGGCCTGGTCCTTAGTGCGGAGGCCCGCCCCCGCCCCTGTCCCCGTCCCCGTTCCCCGCCCGCGCGCCCAGGCTCCTCCAGCGACGCGCGCTAATCCCTCTCACGTTCTGGGCCTCGTTAGCATGGGCCGAGGCGCGCCGGGGCCGTGTGCGCCGCCGAGATAAGGCACTGCGGCGGGTCCGCTCGCCCCCGATAAGCGCCTCGGCCATTATGGGCCAAATGATTCATTTTAATTTGGCAATTTCACCGGAGGGAGTGGGGACTGGTTGTGCGGCGCTGGGACCGGCTCCGGAATGCGCCACGGAGAGAGTAGGGCGCGCAGTCTAGGACTACGCGAGTCCAGCCCCATTTCTGATCCCGAAGCCTCTCGGGAACCCGGGCACCCCGCAACCTCAGTCCCTCGGCCTTCCAGACACCTTTCTTCAGCGACTCTCATCCCAGAACTCCGTCCCTGCCTCTGACACCCAAAACATCACTCCCCAACCCGTCCCCGGCATTCATTCTTTCTCCAGTGTCCTAGACACCCGCATTTCAGTGGGCAGTTCCTCATCCCAGAAAGCTCCCAGCTCCCCCTCTGCACACCCCCACCCCCTTCAGCCCTGGCTCTTTTCTGCTCTAAAACGGAGCATGCTTGCCTCCAGTGTCATCGACTGAGCTCACATCCAGGGCTCTGTGGAGGGACACCTGGTGTCAACGGAGCGATTTAAATGTCCCTTCTGCTGAGTTCCAGGCTGAGCCCCGAGCCTGGGAACGTCCCCAACCCTCATTGTATTTTAAACATTTTAATCTTGCTACTAATGCACCGTTCTAAGCACTCTACAAATACAAAATCTTTTCGTTTTCATAAGCAATCCTAAGACGCTGGTGCTATTATTATCCTCCATTTAGAGATGAAGAAACTGTGGCACAGAAAGTCAAAGAAACTTTACCGAAGTGACAGATCTAGTAAGTGGTGGAGCCTGGGTTTGAAGCACATTTGGCATCAGAGTCCTCTCTGGAGCTCAGGTGATGAAGAAGGGCAGCTGGAGCCTAGGCTGGGAGGACAGATCTGGGCTCAACTCATTGCAGGGACCAAGATCTTACTGTGAAGTAGAAATCTGGGTTCAGTGAGGAGTGGGCAACTGGGACTCAGCCCAGGGAGGGTATCTGCTGTCATTCTTTGACGGTGGAGTGGAAGCAGCAAAGGCTCAAATCTTGCAAGTCACCTGGCTCTGAACCTCCATTTCCTTGTCTGTAAAATCGGGAGATAATACCTACCTGATACTATAATCATTAAAAAAAAAAAAAAAAAAGTCAGTGGTGAGGGGCCTGTGTGGTGCAGTCTGTTGAATGAGGGACTCTTGATTTCAGCACAGGTTGTGATGTCAGGGTCATAAGATCAAGCCCCACGTCAGGCTGTGCGCTCAGTGTGGAGTCTGCTTGAGATTCCCTCTCCCTCTGCCTCTGCCCCTCTCACTCATGTGCTCTCTCTCTCTCAAATAAATAAATAAATCTTTTTAAAAAGGCAGTGGTGAGAAAAATAATCTATGGAACCTCACCCAGCCCAGAGCCCTGGACAACTTCATATGCACATGCATGGGAATTCCGGTTATTGTTACAGAGAAGAAAATTAAGGCACAGAGAGATGCGACTTGGCCAAAGCTCACAGTGACCCCAGGAAAAGATGAGACCCAAACTCCAAGTATCCAGTTTCCACTCCACAAGTCTACCCATCATGCCAGGATGTTTGGTCCTTCCAGCAGCTCTGGTTTGGAGCCTGAGAACTAGGGAAAAGCCCTTGAGTTCCAGTCAAGGATGGAGCCCAGAGTGTGGTCACAGTCGGAGTACTGGCCCCTCCTTGCCATCAGGATGACTCTCTGTGAAGAGACGGTTAATTCAGTGCAGGCTGTTCCCTTCTGTTCCTCTTGTGCTCTCTGGTGGGAGTCAGGATGCACTGTGGGTACAGATAATGCCTACAGAATCTCGTGGTTCTAGAGAAGGGCTGTCCATGTTCTGCGAAAAGAAGTTTAATTCCTGAACTTGCCACAAGGTGTCCCCTGGCCCAGCCACACCAGCCTTCGGCAGGGACCCTGAGAAGGGGTCTCTGGGGTCTATTAAGCCCCATCTCTTGCTGTCTCCCCATGGCTCCAGCCCTGCCTCACCCATTATTATCAAATCGAACCCTCCCTCATGCCCTAGTTACTGCTGCTCCTTCTGCCTCACTGGCCTCCACTTCTCACATCCATCTCCCAAGACCCAACCTTCTGGCCACCTCCTCCCTGAAGCCTCCCTTCCGTGGGGTTGGCTTTCTTCTCTCCCCCTTCTTGTCCCTGCTGCCTTTGCTGGCAGCATCACTTACCTGAAAGCGCGGGAGTCATGTAATTCTGAGTTCCAAGCCCAGTGCTGTCATCTGTGAGCAAGTCAGTTCACCTCTGAGCCCCTGTAAATAGGTGCTGGCCATCCCCATCAGAAAGCCCAGCCAGGGAGCGCTTCCCTGAGAAAATGATGCCTGAACTGAGATCTAAGAGTGGGATCCAGGGGCGCCTGGGTGGCTCAGTTGGTTAAGCGTCTGCCTCCAACTCAGGGCCTGATCCCAGGGTCCTGGGATCGAGCCTCGCATTGGCATCGGGCTCCCTGCTCAGCGGAGAGCCTGTTTCTCCTTCTCCCACTCCCCCTGCCTGTGCTCTCTCTGTCAATTAAATAAATAAAATCCTTTAAAAAAAATCCTTATTATAAAAAAATAAAAAATAAGAGTGGGATCTGAGGGAGGGTAGAAGAGTGAACATCTAGAGCCTTCCACGTGGGACAAGGGCTGAAGCAGAAGGGCCCTAATTTCATACAAGGAACAGAAAAGAGTCTACCGTGGCTGGAGCAAGCCTGAGGTCAATTTAAAGGATTTAGGGGGGAACCATTTTGTTTATTTGGTTTGAGGGTGGGCACTGTGTCCTATATAGGATCAGATTTGCATTTCCGGAAACTCTTTGGCTGCAAGGTGGAGAAGGGGTGTGGGTGGGTGGGAAATGGGAAGACTAGTTCTGACACCATACAGTGATCCAATTGGAGGGTGTTGGACTGAGGCATGTATTTAGGATACAAAATTGGGTTTGTAAGAATATGGTTTGGGGGATGAGGGGGAAGGAGAAATCCAGGAACGCTCTGGGTTTCTGGCTTTCCTTTGCCTAGACCGCTGGTGTTAGTCCTGGAGATGGGGGTCTGGAGGCCAAGGGGTTTTGAATTCCTTGACTTTAGGTGTCTGAGGCATCTACCTCTTACTGGGCATTAAATGACCCTACCAGGCTGTAGGGAAGGAACAAGGGACAGGTGGCAAGGTTTTTGTGAGCCAGCCCCACGGCAGAGAGTGTGCCCAGACGTCGGTGGCAGGTTGGGGAGGTGACACTCACCATCCCCCTCTGCTCGCAAAGCTCCAGATTGTGACAGTCTGGCAGCCATCCCGGACCTGTCCCCCACCCCCCCGCGCCTGGAGCTGGGGGTTCGTGACGTCTACACCCTCCCCCCAAGCCCTGTTTCCGACGGTCGGTGGAAAAACGGAAACTGCGCACTGAGCGGGGCGCCGCCCGAAATAGCATCTGGTGCCTGTCGGTCAGCGCGCTGTCCGAGCGTCCAGGAGGGAGTGACGTGGCCCACGGCCCGCCAGGAAATGCCACCCCTCCTCCGCCCGCCCCAAGCAGGGGCCTTGGGCGGGCAGGAAACCCAGAGCGCCAGAGCTGGGGCTGGGGGGGGGGGGGGGGGGGGGGTGTAGGGAGGAGGGGAGGT